TTAGTAGTTGTTGGAAAATGAGCAGAGGGAAACAGAGTAGATTGCTCTTAATTCGAGCATAAGGAGGGGGAAGAGAGTTGAAAAATAGTTCGAGGGGGATGTAGGTTCAAGACAAGACTGCCCTAGGGAGGATTAAGCTGGAGTGTTCACAGGCTAGAGGGAGATGGAAGGGAGAGCACAGCAGGAGGTTTTCACCTTCCAGTAGGAGAGGACATTGGGCAAAGCAGAATTATCATGGCCATCGCCTTGAGGCCTGTTTGCTAGGTAATGAGTGAGTTAAGATCAGTTTTTAAGAGATGGAAGGCAGATGAATGGAGAAATTGAAAAAAAGAGTAACCATTTAAATAGTCATGGCGGGCCGGGGATTTAGCTCAGTGGTGCTGCCGCCTGCCTCACAAGCACAAGGTCCTGAGTTCGATCCCTGGTACAAAAAAAACTCAACAACAACCACAACAACAAAAAACCAAAAACCAAACACCCCCCAATAGTCATTGAGAGCACTGGCATGCGCAGTACAAAGAGTTGGGCATAAAAGAGCACAGGTGTTAGATCGAGGCTGAAAAGCAGCTGAAACTGGAGATCCTGTATTATAAATGGGCCAAGACTGTGGTTTTCTTAATTAGCACTCAACTCATTGGCCTTAGGAGTTATAAAGGAATACTGCAATTCAATATTCATCTTTTGAGTTTCATGAGGAAGGAATCCTGAATATTTTAGTGAGGTCATACTTGATAAAGATGGTGCTGTGTCAGTGAAGAGGACTGCAAGAACCACTTCTCTGAGAGACAGAGCAAATGTGAAGACAGGGGCACAATTGGTTATGATTTTGAAGTCCGGGCGAGGGAGGGTGATGGCAGTGGGTGGGTAGAACCCATGTCTTGGAGTGTTTTGAAGCTATTCTGGGGTTTTACTTTTTATTTTAGTGGTGCCATTGACATTTTTTTTTTGTCCCTTTTCTTTTTTTTTTTTTTTTTTTTTTTTTTTTTGGTTTTTTGAGACAGGGTCTCACTATGTAGTTGACTGACCTGGAACTCACTAGGTAGCCCAGGCTGCTCTCGACCACAGTGATCCTCCTGACTCAGTCTCCCCAGTGCTGGGATTACAGGCCTGAGCCACCATGCCCGGCCCATTGACTTTTTTTTAAAAGAGTAAGGGACAGGATAGTGTTTTAGGAAGATAACTCTGGGGCCAGGAATTTAGCTCAGTGCTTCCGCCACTTGCTTTGCAAACACAAGGTCCTGAGTTCCATCCCCATACCAAAAAAAAAGAAAGATAACTGGACTAACAGACAGAGGTGGTAGTTATAGGACACCAGGATGGAACTGGAGAGAGGCTAAGGAGGGTGAGCGCTTTGGGAAGGAGGGTGGGGTGGTTAGACTCCGATTTCAAGAACAGCTCTCTGTTAATTGATTTTATCTGTTCTTCCTCTTGCTTTCCTGTCAGTGTCCCACCTGGGTGCCAGTTTCATCTTCTGTGGACTCAGCTCTGCCTCACACCTTCCTTGTTGCGCAGCCTGGTGTACAGTGCCCGTCCCAGCGTGGTCTTCTCCTTTGCTGTCTCGCGCCATCTCTCCCCATCCCTCCATCCGTCCGTCAGTGCCGCCGAAATGGACTGCACAGCCTCTGTCATTCCTGAGGGACGCCCTCCCCCCACTTTCTTGCTTTCCTCTTTGCTCCCTGTACTCTTTAGTAAGGCTGATTTAATCATCATTCATTTAAGGCTGCCCACCCATGTCTTTTAGCTTTATATTTCATTATTTTAAATGGCGTACAATTCCCTTTGGTAGCTTTTTATCATCTGCTAGGGGACGGTTTCTGTCTTCCCTTCACCATAGGGAGCATAGATTTGTTAAAGTAAGTATGTGGCCGATAGAGTGGTCCTGTGAATCTTTCTATTGTTTCTGTTTTTCATGTGCTGCTGGGTTCCTTTTAAGCATGTGCCGGATGTTACATTGAAAATTATTGAGGCCTCGGGCATTGCGCTTGATCATGAAGAAGAAGGAGCGCAGTGGCGCTGGCAGTGCGGGGTCACTCCAGCTCAGGTCCTGGTGTTATGCTGCTTCTGTTCTGGTTCCCACATGCTCCTAGCAGTCAGTGGTGGCGAACCCAGGGCACGAGTGCCACAGCCGGTAGCTCTTTACCACGGAAAGCTCTAAAAGGTTCTCCATCGCTCGGGAGAGGGGAACCGCAGACCATGGGTGGTTTGTCAGGTTTCCTTTCCTCCCTCTGGGTGGCCCTACATATTCCAGGTTAATGACTGTGTGGACTTATAACCAAGGCACACGGTTCCATCTTAGGATCCCCTGGTTGAACTTACCACGTGTCATTTTTTTGGTACGCTCCCGAATACCTTGTTTGTAGAGCCTCCGTGACTTTTGGTGTGGTGCACCTTGTATAGACAGTGCTGCAATGTTTACTGACTGTACTGTTATGGCACTGTGGTTTTATGTTCTCTCATACACTACATACTGCATGTAACAGTTATGCAAATAGAAGTAAAGTCATCAGGTTGGAGTTTCCGGCGACCATTTCTTTGCTCTGAATCTTGTGATGTACACGCTATATTCAATTCTGCATTTAGGAGCCAAGTCATTTACCAAGCTGACTGCAAGAAGGGAGCTTGGTCATGAAACACGGAGTGTCTGCCCTCTCCTCACCCATCTGGCTCCATGACGGTGCCTGTGGACTGTTGTCCTCAAACTACTTTTGAAAATGGCTGAGTACCTTAGGGGAAAAGTAGCTCCTCTGGGAATTTCTGTCCTTTCCTGTTGGGTAATTCTTGTGTCCCACCTGTGCCTTCCAGCTTTCCTCTTCCCAGAACAGGCAAAAACGGAAACATTATCCACTGCCATTTTGATTTAGTTGCTTCCTGTTTTCCAGGATTGAGTCAACTTCCATGACTCCTCCCTTCTAAAACGAAGTTATCGTTTTCTCCCCGGGACTGTAACACTTTCTTGCTTTTACCTCTTTAAGAGCACGTCGCATTTCAGTTGTGGGGTTAAATGTTTTGTTAATTCCTCTAGACCTTTAGCTCTGGAGAATAAAGATCTTTAGCTTTCCCTAGCTCAGTGGTTGCACACAGTAGTTGTTTTATAAACACTGAGTAGAGTGAAGCAGGATCTCTTCCTGGAAGACAAATGATCTTCTACACTTGTGGGCTTACTTATCTCCTAGCAAGAAAGCTGTAAGGCAAGTAGCTGCCTTGATAGGTGAAAGTGAAAGGTTAGGGTGTAAGTGTGGCTCAGTTTTCCCTCTGATAGTTAATCAGGCTGACTTCGGGTGTCATTTGTCTTATTATACTAAGGGTGCTGGTCAGAAACCGGGATTTCATTGCTGGTTCTGAAGAAAATGGTTCTGAAACAGTGAGTAGCAAAAATAATCGCTTGTATGAATTAATGGATCACTCCCCATCATGCCGCATTTTTATATGCAGTGCAGTATGTAATTCCTTTTTGTTCCCAATGCAGAAAGATTCTCAATTGCAAAGTGAATTTGCCACGAGAGAAAATCTCGTGTTTTGATTCTTTTCAAGTAGTTTGATTTTAAACATATTTTAACTGTAAATTTAGAACTTGGCTTATCACAGTCACTCACAGTTTTACCTGATTGCCTAAATTTTGGGCATTGGAGCTAATGGATACTATGAATACCGCCCCCCCACCGCCACTCTTAAGACATGTATGTTTTAGCCTGTTGCTAGTTTTTAATGGTTTATTCCAGAAGCAGCTGATTTTCATGTTAGCATCAAGTGATATTTTAACTTTGGACGTTCTAAATGCAAAGCTGATTTCGCAGCGTGCTGTAACATAGCCACAAACGTCAGGCAAGATAAGGTACCTACCTCCCCTGCAGCTTCGTGTTTTTCTGTTGAGTATTGCAATTCTGCCAGTCTCACTTAACTTCTTGAAACACCGAACTTGTGTTGGGGTTGTCATCGTTTTGCTTTCCTCAATAGCAGCCTAAGTTAGCTATGGTGCTGTTTTGCATATAATGGAACTGAGAGCCCCAGGAGTTCAGTTTTGTGTAAAAAAATCACATAGCGGTGGATGGAAGATCTGCAAATGAAAGCCAGATTTTACTCATTTGATTTGTAATTCTTACAGTGTCTCCTGTTCAGATTTGTTAGTTATGTCACAGAGTAACATATTAGAAAGCTCTGTCCAGCCCCTTCTCATAGAAGACATGATTTGGTGCATAGATAAAGGAAAAATAGAAACGGCATTAGTTTCTCAAACCTCTCATACCTCTTGATCCCGGAGTTGGAACTTGGTGGTGTTGGTATTCTGCTTGCTTTATAGGGAAGGAGACAGTTTGTTAGTGGTACAAATCATAAAATTCGTATAATTATCTTGGGTTTATCAATGCAAAGTGTTTACTTCAAAGAATATACACATCAGTTTTTTGTTTATTTATTTATTTATTTTGGTGTTTTGAGACAGGGTCTCACTATGTAGTTGAGACTGACCTGGAACTCACTATGGAGCCTAGGCTGGTCTCGAACTCACATCAGATTTTAACTTTTGCATCCATGATATATTTAAATATGTGTTGTGTTCTTAGTGGTACAGTTATGAAGATGGTTAACTTAATGTTCTTGTGATTAATGAATCTATAGTGGTTCTCACTAATTTCTTTTTAAATATCTTCAAATCATCCTTTTAGTTATTCATTTTATTTTTTAAAATCAGTTTTTAGGTTTGCTAATCTGGAAAGTCTCTGTAATTGATTTTCTTCTTTTCAAAATCAGGACATCGCCTTTTTAATCATGTCTCCCAGACGCTCCTCTTGTTAGCTCAACTTTGTCAGGATTATAACCCACGGTTGTGACTGTAGAAGCTGTTCAGAACCCTGAGTTGTAGTTGTCTATTTTGAGACTCAAATGCCTGAAGTAGACCTCAGCTTACTTGATTTTCTTTTTTAATCATATCAGACCTGTTTCTCTTAGTAAAATTGCGAGTTCCCTGTTTAAAACGTATTCTCTCTATAATATTTTCAAAACAGGAAATAAAGTCTTTGCTTTCGCTTTTTGGCGGTCAGTTCACCAGCAGTCAGGAAAGTTATGGAAAGGTAAGATGAATTTTACCTGACCATCTGTAGAATACCTACAGATAAAACACTGGATTTGAAGAGAACTGAAATGCTTAAGTTTCTGTCTGTGTGATGACTTGTTTCTGTTTCCAGAGGCAGTTAAATGAAAAGGATACTTTGGGAAAAAACAAAAACAAAACTGTGGCTTTGGAAAATGACCTAAATTTACTTCCAGTTTTCTTTTATTCATTTACTTTTTTGCAGCAGTGGAAATTGAAGAGCATTACACATGCTAGGCCAGCGCTCTACCACTGAGCTCCAGCTCCAGCTGTTTTAGTCCAGCTCAGCAATCACACCATCACGGAAAGAACCTTCCTTTAGTGAGGTGTGTTTCCAGTTGGAACTTGGCAGAATTTCAGGCTCCTGCTGGGATGTACTAGTGATTTTGGAGCATTGTTACAGCGTCCTTCACCCACCTGGCAGGTGGCCACAGCGACCCAGAAAATGAGACAGCATTTAGTAACATAGGAGATACATTACTTAGAAGTTAAACATAAAATAGCTAATGTATTATAAGGAATGCTTGGAAAAGATAAAAATTCCAATATTATGTTCTGTGGTGTAATATGCACTAATTCTTTCAGGCAAGTTACATAATGGCAGATACCAAATTTACCTTAAAGTTAAGTAGATTTAAATTTAATTTACTGATATTTTCATTTGTGAGGTCAGTATGAAAATGTTCTTACATTGCACTGTGTAGCGCTAAAAAGTAACCTATGAAAATAATTTAATTATTCCTACGAGTGATTTAATTTTGGTTAGGATCAGAGTACGGATTCTTTATGAAGGCAGCAGTTAGGATTTTCCCCTTTGATCTTTGAATCAAAGCATACCCAGCCTATAGCCACTCAGAGGTAAAGGGGTTTTGCTATTTCTTTCAGTCTCCGTTTTGGATTCTTAGCATCCCCTCTGAAGATATTGCAAGAAAATTAATGAAACGGACGGTGTGTGCCAAGTAAGAAAACCTTTCTCCCTGTCTCTCTTCGGATTTTTATCTGTAAAGGGCAGATGGGTGCAGAGGGTGCTGGTGTAGCATGCAGTTACGAGCATCTACCACTGGGTGGTGCCGGGCGACAGGAAAAGTTGACTTGCTGACGAGGGTCAAACAGCGACGGAATGTAGAAAAAATTTCTGTTTAGAATAATTTTTCAAAGGTTTCATATTAAACAGAAAAGTATAGCATGGTATGTAAGTGCTATATTTGCATATAGGATTGAACTCACATTTAATTGTAACTGAAAACCCCAAAATGTGGTAGAGTGAGGTGCCAAAATGTGGGCATTGCTATGAAATGGGTTCTAATATCTATCTTGGTGTAAATTATTGACGTTCTTCATTGTTTATCCTAGATTTAATCATTGACCACTTTCCTTTTCTTTCATTTTTTTCTTAAAAAAAAGAAATCTCTCCTCTACCCATACTGGGGATCGAACTCAGGACCTTAAGCTTTCAAGGCAGCTACGGGCACCACTGAACTAAATCCCCTGCCCTAAAAAAAAATTTTTTTTGATGCATGCATTTTTCTGTATCTCAGTTGGTTTTTTTTTTCCTGAACATTTTGGCAGATGATTGAAAACTTTCTTTTCTGTGGAATTACATTTTCTTTAGAACTCCGTATATTTTTGTTTGCAGTGCAAATAAGAATTTATGTACACAGTTTTGTAAGAAGGCAAGTAAGTATATCTAAATTTGTTAACATATTTAACAGTGCTTTATAGTACTGTTATTGCTATTTTTTTGAATTGGCCACATATTTAGTTAAATTTGTACTGTTGAGATGTAGCCCTAAATCAACCTGCAGCCTGAAGTCCAATCTTTTGAGCTGAAACATGTTAATGGATATTGTTTATTAAATAAAAATGACTAGAAACCAGAACATTACTAAAAAATATCATTTGAATAATTACTGTTGTACCTTATGTTAAAACTTACAGCTTGAAGAGGTGTTTGAATTAGCCAAAGTTTGTTAGGGTTAAAGTAGCTACTGGAGTACTAAAAATTTATATATATTTTTAAACTCATATCTTCAGATGTATATATTTAATGAATGGCAAAATCAGTACTTGTACATTGCAATAATATTTTATAATAAATTTTCAGTTGTTTTTATTCTGTATAATTTGCTTTGGCGATGTGTAACTTAAGTGCCTACGGTAGGCTCAGTAAGGGTAATTTTGTAGAGGTCTTTACTGTATAAATCAATAGAAAGAAAGGAAGCATTCATTTTTTAAAGGGTGGTATTTGTAGCCTCATTTTACAGGATTAAAATAAACCCGTAACCTGGAGCATCCTGCTGCAACGGGCTGTTTGTATCATGGAAAGCTGTAAAAGGTTCGCCATCCCTGGCCTAAACTGAAAAGTAACTTAAATTCAGAAGTTTTTGTGGTAGAATAGAGATCGAACTGTAGTTTATTTTTAGCATGAAGTATTTTGAGCAAAACACAAAAAGAGTGAAAAATGTAGCAAACTCCCAGGTGCCTTCCTTGTTAGAATGTAACATTGGCGTAACAGTTAATAAAGGTTACCCAGTAGTAGCTGACTTTCAACAGTAGCATTTGAATTGGGTCCCTGTGTTTCACAGTGAAGACCCTGGGTTTTCTACAACCTTTCTGGGTAATGTGCTGCATCAGTCCACCTGGTCCAGGGGAGCAGTGATGGAGCAGGCAGCAGGCTCTGTGGGAGCCCTGGGCTCGGTCCCCTTCAGCGGTGTGAGGTTCACCCTCTTTGTGTGTTGGGACCTAAGTCATCTCTGTTTCCAGGATACAACTTTTCGTTTATAGTTTAAGGGGGGAAAAAAAGCAATACTTGTTTTAGTGGCTCAGGCATGAAAAGTTAGTGAAATAACTGTTAAGTGTTACCGTGTGAGCTAAGTTCTTCACTAAGGACGGTACCGGTCCTTTGTCTCCTAGGTCTATATTTGAACTCTGGGGGCATGGGAAATCTACCGAGGAGCTGTACAGTTCTCTTAAAAATTACCCTGTGGAGAAGATGGTGCGTAGTGACATGAAATTTCTTCCAGGATGTGTGCCGATTCTGCAGAATTACAAAGCTTAAACAACCTATCTACTTCTTTTTTTAGGTTCCATTTCTGCACCCAGACTCTACGTATAAAATACAAATCCACACATTTAATAAAACCTTGACACAAGAAGAAAAAGTGAAACGAATAGATGTAAGTGAGTTTATCCCTGTTGGGCTTGTTGTGGTCTCGTGTGTTGCTGATGAGACTGGCTTTGGGTGCCCCTTTACACCTCACTGTGCCATGCACTTTTCATGGTTTGTCTTAACGCCGACACCGGTTTTACATGGTAGGTGTTATGTTACATAAGAACTATTGTACTTTCTTTGTAAAGTTTTAGCTCACATTAGAATTCCTTTTATTTCTTAGGCACTCGAATTTCTGCCTTTTGAAGGAAAAGTGAATTTGAAGAAGCCTCAGCATACATTCTCTGTTCTGGAGGACTACGGTTTGGACCCAAACTGCATCCCTGAAAAGCCCCATAATATTTATTTTGGTAGATGGGTGAGCAAGGATTCTGTCTCGTTTTGTTTTTTTAAAAACTAAGTGTGGGTTGGAGGAATAGCCAGCCCAGTGGCAGAGTGCTTGCCTGTCACACGTGAGCTCTGAGTTTGATCTCCAGCGGGAGCTGAATGCTTGTCTTCGTGTTTGACTCTTTATATGGAGAACTTTAAAGCAGGTGAAGAATCATTACTGCTGTATGGGTTAAAATCAACAAAGAGCATGTAATTGTGGTTTGTTTTGTATATTTATGGAGAAAGAGATGTCCCTGGTGAAATTACAACAAGATTTGCCAGAATATCTGGAGTGCTTTGAAAAAAAAATGTTTGTGGTACTGGGTATTGATTTAGGGCCTTTGTACTGAGCTACATCCCTAGCCTTTCTAAAAGTTTGAGACAGTGCTTTGCTAAGTAGCCCAGGCTGGTTTTGAACTTTTGATTCTCCTGCCTTAGCCGCCCGGAGTGCAAGGATTACAGGTGTAGACCAAGGCCCCTTGGTGTTTTTGTTTTTTTGGATATTTGGTATTGGGGATTGAATGCAGGCCCTTGTGCTTGTGAGGCAGGCACCGGAACCACTGAGCTAAATCCCTGGCCTTCCGTTGGCGTTTTTAAGGAGTCTTTCTTTTGGTGATTGCTAACTGCAAACTTGTCTTCTAGATCTGTCCTCACAATGGTAGATCACACCTGGCTGTGGACTGCTTTTTAAAAATAAAATGGAGGGTTAGGCAGACTACTGTGGTAGTTGAGAGATCTCATTTGTGGAGGTGTCAAACCTAAGTCTTCATTGTGCGAAGAAATGGAGCTGTTGTCCAGCTGTCCCATCCACTTCCCGAGGCTGTTAGCATGAGCGGGTGCTGAGAATCATGATTGTTACTATTTAGATTGCTGTTATTTAGAGAAAAGAAATGGAGAAGGCTTACTTACCACTGTCCCTGGGATAATGGTAATGCAGTCTAAATAATATTTGGTTTGAAAAGAAAAAAATAGATGGAAAGGGATTCAAAAGCACTATATTTGTGCATAACTTCCTCAGTCCCACTATTTTAAAAGAATAAGTTTGGAGCAATAGTAAGTAGAAAAAAAATTCCCATCAGCATGATGCTATGGTTTTATTGTGGATTATTACCTCAGATCTGTTCTGTGTGTTGGTATGAATTTGAAAACTATCTCTGCTCTAGATCGCTGATGGTCAGAGAGAGCTAATTCAGTCATACAGTGTCAAGAAGAGACACTTCATTGGAAATACAAGCATGGATGCTGGCTTGTCTTTCATCATGGCCAACCACGGACAAGTAAAGGAGAACGATGTGGTCTTTGACCCATTTGTTGGAACAGGTATTTTTATTGAACTGTTAATGCTGGTGTAACGATATTGCTTTGATGTGGCAGTGAATGTCATGGCAATATTTTTGGAGAGAGATTAAGTGGACAAATGATCTTTTAATTTTTATTAGCAGCTAAGAGACAAATGCATACTGTGTTATAGTATTGAATGCTTGTGCCATTTTATAGATGATTGATAGAATTTTATGGATCATATTCCAAATAAGTCATTACCAGGGGGTATATCTATGTACATATTTTTAATAGCAGAATAACCCTGTGGTAATGTACAGTGTAGAAATTATAAAGCCCTATGATTTATTTAAATCTGAAAACTCTTGGGAAAAGTAGCACTTGAATGACAGAATTTAAAAAGAATGTCTTAATGTTTTTAAATAGATAATTTTATATTTGAATGGAGAAAAATAGTTAATGTATCATGTGATCTTTGATTTGGTTTGTGGGGATTTATAAATAAGTGTAAATATGTTAAATGACTAAATGTTAGTGGCTTCAGGGTCATGTTTGTGACCTGAGCAGTCTACTTGGTTGGGGTGTTCCCCTAAGGGACTTAGTGTGAACTTCCTAGTGCTTTCTGTTTAGTACAGACTCTGTGAAGAGATTTTACTGTCTTTTTTTTTTTTTTGCACCATTACTTCTGTGAATAGGGTTTTATGCCCTCGGTCCCTTGGTATTTTTAAGAAGTCTTTCTTTTGGTGATTGCTAACTGCAAACTTGTCTTCTAGATCTGTCCTCGCAATGGTTGATTCTGGTGCATATACTTGCAGTAGATGTTTTAATCTCCTGGATATCTGTTTGAGTCTGTTTCATTAAACCCATTTCTTTCCTATATTGGCCATTTATAGTTTCCATAATTTTCCTAAGCTCCTCTATTTTTTTGTCTGTATCTACTCCAAATACATGAACCATTTCCTTCATTGTGGTCATCATCTTTTTAGTTATCTGAGAAATTATTTTCTGGCTTGTTTTTATCTAGAGCCTCATTCGTCTGCTTTGTTACTTCTGCTGCTCCTGTTTCCGAAGGTTCTGGTGGATGGCCTCTGATTTCTTCCACTTCACTGCCCTTGGATTTGGCTTGGGCACACTGGAGGTGTGGGCCTGCATCTTGCTTCCATTTCTTCTCATTTTCTATTTTTAAAAATTTGTTTTCTTGGGTTGGGCATTTAGCTCAGTGGTTCCAGCGCCTGCCTCACAAGTGCAAGAACCCAATTTCGATCCCTGATAGCAGAACAAAGAAACAAAAATTTTGTTTTCTGTGTTGATGCTTGTAAATTGCAAGAAAAAGCAAAGAGAGAAAGAAAAATGCACTTCAGGGTGCATCTCTGCTGTCCCTGGTAGACAAAGGAGGCAGAGCCAGCGCCAGCATCAGAGTTGGATGATCCCAGCAGGCCTGAGTAGATTAGGGCAGATGGTGGGTAATCCAGCAAGCCTGTGTTTCCAGCTCCACTGAAGGCTGATCCTGGCTTCTGCCTGTGAGGCTGGGACCCACAGCACTCCTGGTGCCATTTGCCTGCCTACATTCGGTTCCCTAACCCTGGACGTCTCCCAAGGCTGTGCCTCACTCAGGCCCCGGGATCCCTTAGATGGAGTCAATCTGAGGTTGCTGTGAGTCCCAGATTCCTCCGCTGGCCCCTTCCCCAAATGCTGTCTGGCCAGTCGGCCTCCCCCGGAGACATTTGGTCTGGAGTCGCTCACCAGCTGCTGCAGCTCACAGCGTCCACTGCTCTGTTTCTGGGGACCCATCTTCCCCTTCTCTCTTCCCCGAGTTGCTGAGCTCCAGCATCCGGGTTCCACATCTCGGAGAGGCTCATTTGCTGCTGCTCAGTTCTGAGGGCCGGTGGGGCCTGGGCTGTTGGGGCGGGCAGGTGCTCACATCCAAGCCGCCCGGAGGCTGAGTCCTGGGGGAGGGCGAGGCCATGGACGGCTCCTCCCCTGCTCTATGGCGAACCAGTGGGCGGCTCCGCTTCGTTATTTCTTCTGTTTACATCTCTGTATTAAATATTATTTTCTGCATCTTTTAAAATTTGCATCTATCACAATCCTCCCCACCTCGAGTACTTTAATGTCTGCTTCTGAGAATAAGGATGTATTTTGTTACATAGCCACAGTACAATTTTAAAAAGTATTTAATAGAGTATCAATATAATATTTATTGAGTGATGCAGTTAAGTTCTGTATAGTTTTGGGTTTTTTTTTGTACCAGGGATCAAAGTCAGGACCTTGTGCTTGCCAGGCAGACGCTGTGCCGCTGAGCCACATCCCGGGCCTGCCTGCCTCCCTCCCCACTCCCTTCCTCCCTCTTTCTTTGTCTGTCCTGGGAATCGAACTCAAGACCTTGCGCTTGCCAGGCAGGCGTGGCACCACTGAGCTAACTCCCTGGCCCTCACGATGTAGTATCTTTTCCTTTTGTCCCAGGGTCAGGTGTTATATTTTATTGTCAGTGATTTGGAACGTAGCTGAAACCCCGCTCTCTCTGTCCCTCTGTCCCTCTTCTCCCTTCCTCCCTCTCCCTCTCTTCTCCTTCCCATTCACGCGTTCATGTTTACAGCACTGGTATTGATCGCAGGGTCTTGTGTATGCTAGGCAAGGGCTCTACGACTAAGCCACACTGCCCGCCCCCGAGCACCTTCTTTCGCTGCTGTGAAATTTGTACTTCGGAAGAACATTATCCCTCCTCTGTTTAGAGTATTCTTCACATTTTGGGTTGTTTGGTCTTCCTCATGACTAGATTTGGGCTGCACATTCCCAGCTGATCTACTGCATTTGTGATTTTTTTTTTTCTTTTTTGGTACCGGGGATTGAACTCGGTTCCTTGAGCTTGCAAGGCAGGCCACCGAACCGCTGAGCTAAATCCCTGGCCCTGCATCTGTGATATTTCTGATGGCTTTCTGTCCCTTGTTAGTAGTGTTAATTTTTTTTTTTTTTGGCATTGGGGATCAGACTCAGGTCCGTGTGCTTGTGAAACAGGCGCCAGAACCATTGAGCTAGATCCCCGGCCCAGTAGTATTAATTTTGATCAGCTGGTTAATGTGGTATTTGGCTTTTTGACTGTATAGCTAGTGATTGCTGTTTTTTCTCTTGTAGTTAACAACCACCCTGTGGGGAGACAGGTTAAGACTAAATACTCTGCTCCCTGAACAGCGGCCTTCTCTGTGAGGTTGTCTGTCTTAGTCTGCTTTAATACTGCTCTTGTCTGAACTGGGATTTTACACTGATGCTCGCAGATGGATGAGTTTCCATCTCCAGCTCTCCTTCCCTCTGGCCAGCATTTGCTCTTCTGTAAGCCAAGATCTGTTTCTTCTCTTGTCCATATTTACTTAACTGGCATTAGTAGTATGGACTAGGGAGTTCCTTTTCCCTCTGGGCTCTATTTCATGTCTCTCTATAATTATTTTGTTGTTCATATTGTCCCATATTTGTCAGCCTTTTCAGATGGAATCTTTCTGACGTGATCTTTTCTTCTTGATTATTTTATTAATTTCGGGCTCATCTTCTACCTGCCCAACCCCTAGTGTCAGTTATTTCTCCGAGGAACCTGCTTTTCTTGATGGTGTTAGAGACCGGGCTCAGGATTTAGACCCTTTTGTAGAATAAGCTAGGAAATACATTTGTGTCTCTGTGTAGTACATATGTATATACGTAGTAAATATGCATGTAAAGTACATGTGTGCCTTCCTACATACTGTGCATGCACACGTGTGTCCCTGTACAAGGCATGTTTTGGAAATCCCACATTTGTGCATATATTACATATTACAGCTCATCCTCACAAAATTCTTTTTTTTCCAACCTAGTTCATATTTTACATACCACAGGGAAAAAAAACCCTGGTTCCTAATCAAATTCAAAACATTTTCTTTTTGCCCATTCATGTAATATAGTTTCACAATTGCTTTTGCATGCCACTAAAAGAAAAATAGTTCAAGATGTTTTCATTTCTCCATCTGCCTAAGGAGCAGCGAATTCACTTATTGGACTTGCTTCTTTTGTTCCCCTTCGTTTAAAATTCAGTTGGATTCATTTGCCTCAGGTTGCCCTCAGGTTTAGGTTTCTATCCCCGTCCCTGCCACTGTTGGTTGATGTCATCTTACCTTTAAGTGTATAGGTGGTTACCTTGCTTCCAGAGTGAGAGTACTGGAAGAGCTGTCCTGGTCTGGGTCTGGACTCCCCCAAAGCCTCGGCCGTCGCAGGCTGGGTCTAGAGCGTGAGGCTGGAATCCATTCACGGTGCAGTGCTGGGCTCAAGGGCGCTAGGATTAAGGGTGTGAGTGTGCCCATCCCAAGGACTCTGAGTAAGATAAAAAGGGCAGGGAGACCTGTTAGGTTCTTGTTTCCTTTCCTGCCTTGTGTGCTCCATGTTGTTTCTCCCCTGCCAGGCCGGATTGTCTTCCCTGTCTTGGAGTTGGCCAATTTTGGACTGAAACCGCTAGGAACTCTAAGCCAAATGAACCCTTTCCCTTCTAACTTTGGTGCTGGGTATTTTGTCCCAGGAAGGAGAGAAAAGTAACTAACGCGCGAGGTGTGTTCTGAGAACTCTCACTTTTTCACAGCCCTTCTATCTGGCTTACCCTCCTTCACTGTTGGTTCGTCCTCTGCTTCTTTTCCCGTGATTAATTGATTTCCTTATTCTCACTTTTTTTAAAAATAGAAAAGGTAGCGTATTGTATAGATGGTTTTAACTTTGCTTTTGTTACTTCACAGTATTTCCTGGAAATTATGCCTTGTCAGTCTCAGATAGTTTTCTTTTTTTTTTTAAAGTGATATTCTACAAATTATTCAAATAGTTCTTCAAATAGTCTTCTATACTTAGACACTGGCAGTTTGTAACATTTTGTAGTTAAAAATAATGCTTGCAATGAATAATCTTATGAACACATGCCTTTGTAATGTTGTGTGCGTACTTGTAGGGTAAATTCCTACAAGTAGGATTGCTGGGTTGAAAAGTGTGTACATACAAGGCATGATGGAAAGATACTGTGAATGTTCAAATAA